TAGATGGGAGGATAATCTCAGGCGGGATCTGTGGGAGATAGGAGTTGAAGGAGACTGGATTTTGTTGGCCCAGGACAGGGTCCGGTGGAGGGCTTTGGTTAGTTCGGTGATGAACCTTCGGGTTCGGTAAGCCATCTAGTTAGTCCTTCACTAGAGTTAAACCCCATTTTATGAACTGAGGTATGGCTATCCTTTTTGAAGTTATTCGTGGTTCTCCTTAATCCCTCCAGGGTAATGCTGAGATATTTGTATTATGAGATTTAATGTTCTCGTGGTAGTAAAGGCGTTTATGTTGATCTTTTGTGTTGTAATGCCATGTAGGCTTGTAGGTAGACATTAACGCTTCAGAGGAGTATACTGTCTTCAGCCCCGAAGATGGAAGCAGTACATTTGCTGAAGTGTTGGCAGCTACGTACCAATCCACGCGGTATTACAATCCAGAAGGCCGACATTGGCAGGTATTTTACCATTTATTACCTTGTCTGTTCAGTATCGCAACGAAGGCAATCCGTTGGCTCATTACGACACGACAGCCGAGGAAATCATACAGCAGTGTGATTACAAGGTGGACATGCTGGTGGTTGCTGCCGGTACAGGGGGCACAATCACTGGTCTCGCTCGCAAAGTCAAGGAACGTTGCCCTAACTGCAAGATTGTGGGTGTTGACCCCGAAGGCTCCATTCTTGCTCAGCCAGAAGAGCTGAACAAAACTGATGTTTCGTTTTATGAAGTTGAAGGAATCGGATATGATTTTGTACCGACAGTATTGGGTGAGCGTTACTGACATCTCAGAACAAAGTTATCGCATAATCTTCTGTCATTTATCGTGGGATTATTTCCAGTATTTTCTGGGTCATAAACTCTGAAAACAGCACTGGGTTTTCTGAGGAGTTGTCTATCTTACATTTTATGTGACTGATAGTCTGTTTGTTTAGTATTAGCACATATAAGCATGTTTATTCATGGTATAAAAGCAAATCCTTTGCATGGTATAAAAATTTGTCATATGCAACCACATTGAACATTCAGTTAATATTATTCGTGTGGACATAAGAATATACGAAATAAAATGATTTTGACTTAGGTATCAGGATTTCTGTACAAACAGAAAATAATAATGTTCAACGCAAAGAATTTAGTTGAGTAAAATGAAAGTGCGCATAGGTAATGAAAGTCACCGTAATGCTTGTCAGTATTAAAGGTTCATAAATGTTCGGCTGTGGAATGCGATCTAAGGATTTTTTTTTTAAATTAATTACTTGAATATTTCAGATCGCTCTGTTGTGGACATGTGGGTGAAATCTAGTGACAAAGAATCTCTGCTGATGGCAAGGAGACTTATAAAAGAGGAAGGATTACTGTGTGGTAAGGCTTTTCTCTCTCGGTGCAGTGTCGCTTCTCAAGAGTTTTTACGATATCTTTCCGATATATGAGCAGTCATGAGGGTTTACGTCTATTCAGAACATCCTGGTTGAAGAGACGCGTTGACTATCTGTTCTAGAATTGTCCTTCGATTTTCCGCAGTACGTCTAGTCAGATAAGTGAACGCACGAAGGGTGGGCTGTATACGATGTTTCATATCCATACCTATTGAACAGATTTTGATTAAATTTAGTACTGATCTGTTCGAAATATTTTTTGGCAGGTTTAATTTTTGTACTCCTTCACACATTTCAAACTTACTTTCAAGATTTTTAAAAAAATGTCTGCTCAACATAAAATAATCTCATTTAATGTATAATACAAATATTTATGTATATATTTAAAGTAGCATAAGGAAAAATAATGTATCTTCATGCCTTGTGATATCTATAGTTTGAATATCACAGGTGGCAGCAGTGGATCTACTGTGTCAGCGGCTTTGAAGGTGGCAGCCGGCTTGAGAGAAGGACAGCGTTGTGTTGTTTTGCTGCCAGATGGAGTGCGTAACTACATGACCAAATTTCTCAGTGATCACTGGATGAAAGAACATGACTTTATTGAAGATACGGACCTGAATGATCACTGGTAACAACATTTCAACTTTAAAAGATACAGAAATTTTGTCTCCAATTCCTATATTTGATATTTTGATTATCCAACCAATGTTAATATCTTTATTATATCGTCTGACTCGAAGGAAATGGATGGGATCTTTTTTAAAGTGTTTATAGTAGTGAATGGGTATTTAAAGTACAAATGACCCAATTAATATCGTTTGACCATTTCTTTACAAAACTTTTTTTTTTGGTATTGATAGACGGCCGTCTTCTGGGTTGTCGCGCAGTGTAGTCAGGTAGAGGTTTACCGACATTTCAGATGTCTCTGTCATCAGGACAGTGAGTCCCCCTGATGATGGAGGCAGCGAGCAGAAAACAGCCGTCTTCAGACTCACCGCCACAAAAACCTCAAATCCTATATTTTTCAGGTGGAGTAAACTGAAGGTCGCTTCTCTGAACTTGGAACCTCCACTGTCAATCTTACCGACTGTCACATGTCAAGAAGCTATTGACATAATGAAGAAAGAAGGTTTTGATCAGCTTCCTGTTGTCGATGACACGGGGTGAGTCCATGGTTATCTGAATGGTGTGTGATCAGTTTTGTAACAGAAAACATGCTCACATAATTTTAGATATGCTGGACCTTTAAAGGTTAAGATCTTTTCCTTGGTTTTCAGGGTCGTTCAAGGCACGGTGACGCTAGGAAATCTGGTGACGAGAATGGTGAACAGTAAAGTTTTGCCAACAGACGCAGTGGAAAAAGTGCTGTATCGTCAATTTAGAAAGATAAAATTGGACGCGACTCTGGGCCGACTCTCAAGAATCTTGGAGAAGGATCACTTTGTGCTCGTCGTCCATCCTCAAATACTTTGTAAGTGTTAAATTGATTTTGGTTATTATACGCTCGTTAAAGTTGGTACTTTTACTTCATATTTGTGCTCATTGATCTGTGTGTCCTTATGAGTATGTATTAATGCGTAAAAATGTTTCCTATATTAGAATATACAATTTTTATTGAAACGTGTCTTGGGAAGTTGAAGACGTGTCAGGCTAGAAGTACGCAGAAGAAGAATTCCTGGATTTTATAGGGTGCGTCTGGTTTTGTAACTTTAGATTTGTTTATCTCCTCTAAATGAACATCGAGGCTGATCGTGATGAAGTCAACGAAGCTCAGAGCAGTTTACGTATGATAAATATAAGGTATTAAAACAATCTGGATTATGTTATAAGAAATTATAGTATTAGAAATTGTTTTAATAAGTTTCCAAAATGCTGCATGCGTATTGAGATTTTTTTGCATATCAACAGGTAAAATTATTTCAGATACCGACCAAGAAGCCACGGAGAGCCGCGACGTCATCATCGGTATTGTGACTCCCATTGATCTCCTCAGTTTCATCACAGACAAAGACAATAGAGAAAGGAAAATGGCTTATGAGAATGGTGCGGAGCGCGGTTCTGAATCGGAGTAAAATTCTGCTTCACGGTGCTTGTAGAGAAATGTTTTTTTCCAGCCTACGGTTCGCAGGTAGTATGACCACGTTCCAGCTATTTGGAAATACCTCCGTGATTCTATTCAGCTTAAAATTAAAAAAATATCTTTTTTTAAACTTTGTACAAACAATTAACAAAACCATTTCCACCCAGTCCTCACATTACACAAACTCCATTGCTGTTGTACGAGGGCGTTTCAAAAAGTAACAGCAAATTAAATATTTTGAGATATATAATTTAATCAGAGATACAAATGATATGTCATTTTTATATATAATCACCATCGTTTTCAATACACTTCTCACACAGTTGCACCAACTTCTTTATTCCATCAGAAAAAGTTTTTGGTTGTGCCTTCAGCCAGGAATGCACCGCTTCTATGACCTCGTCATCATTCACAAATCAACGCGTCCTTCAGGGGTCCAAGCACATGATAATCTGAGGGAGCAAGGTCAGGGCTGTAAGATATGAAATCTCAATCTCGGAATGGTGTGAGGGCGTGCGTTATCATGGACGTTGGTCATCACAGATTGATGTTCGCCCATTTTTAAACGCGTCTACCCACTCC